TTTTCGAAGCGAGAAAAGTAATTTCCATAGACATAGAGAATTCTTCATTTGTGTGTGGGCTGTGATACTGCCCGGGTGCCCAAACCGAAGCAGGAAGTTAGGAATCAGTATTTTTATATTTTCGAAGTATATCTAGTGTAAATATGAGCGTAGAATTATTGACACCAGTAGCTCATAATGTCGATGTAGAAACGCAAGCGCACTCGATGAAAGCTATATAATATATTCAAAGATTGTACCCATCGGCTTCTCTGTAAATTTAACGATTCAGCATGTTAATCAAATTCATATAAAGGTTTTAAATGGTATTAATTCTACTGTGAACACATATTCAGTGTACTTTAACTGTTTTTTTAATGTTTTAGAAAGTAGTATATCCTGTTGTTTTATTGAAGAAATTAAAAAATTTCGGCAAACGTTTTCAGTCATAGTGAGTCCTCTCGATCCCCTGCTGTTGAGCGTCGGCGAATAATAATTAGAGATGCTAAACAAAAATGACAGTAGTTCAGATTAAGGAAACACAATCCCTATAGAACTAGATTTCACGGTTCGATCATTCATTTTGGATAAATTGGGAAATCTGACTGACAAGAATCCGAAGGTTGTGTTTTAGGATGATCTTGAACATGATAGGGCTCTAGCTAATAAACTGGCGGATTAGGGAGATAACACTGAGCCCAAATTAAACTAACTGTCAAGTTTAACGTTAATCCAATCTGAAATACTGATTGACGATCGTTAAGTTACTGACAATAAGTAATCAAGGACAATGATAACTAACGCGCATCAATTAGTTGACTCCATACAACAAGCACACATATGAAATTGATCATATTGTGTGTACGTTACCTCTCTTCGAGGTATTTTCTCAGATAGACCATATTTATGGCAAGCTGTTATCTGCCCTCCAAGTATAAAAACTTTCGATATAGGAAATTCCCGAAAAGAAAACGCTTATAAGCATTTGACAATGATGACAACCATGTTACCTTGACTTAACACATCATTTTCTGGAGCCAATCAGCAAAGCAATTGCGCTAGTTCAAGTCTCTATTATTCACGAAACACACCTCCAATGACTAGACAACTTAAAAGTCAAACGCTAATACAGCCGTCACTGTACCTCGAACATCAACGCTTTTAAAAATCGTGAAATTCTTGATGTACTCAGATATATTTGGACGCTTAATGCAGTTACAATTTTCCTTCAGTCTACTCATTGTCGATTGCGTCAACCCATTACTACAAGAACCAGAATTTTTTGTAGTTAATATGAGCAACAATGCCAGAATCTTTGGAATGCGCTTCTCTCCCTCTAAATGCAAGTTGTTGCTTCAGGACTGGCCTGCGTCAACACCTGAACTAAGGATAGGGAGTGAAGTAGTCGAACGCGTTGACAACTTCACTTATCTTGGAAGTCTGATCAGCCCTAATGGGTTGGTGTCTGAGGAAATCTCAGCACGGATTCGAAAAGCTCGTTTGGATTCTGCCAACTGACGTCACCTTTGGCGAAGGCGAGATATCTGACTATCAATTAAGAGACGAGTATACCGCGCTGCAATTCGTTCTGTCCTAATTTACGGCTGCGAAACGTGGCTATTAAGAGTAGAAGATACTCGTAACCTACTAGTATTCGACCACAGATACCTTAAAAATATTGCTCACAACTGCTGGGATCACTGGGTAATAGTGAGGTTAAGCACAGGGTATTAGGGAATGATGGTAAATCAGTTGATGAGGTTGTGAATCTTCATCGACTGAGATGGTTGGGCCATCGTGTTGTGTATGCCTGAACACGGATTACTACGACGCGTATTTCTGACTAGTGTTGGAGACGGTTGGATGAAAATAAGGGGTGGCCAAACCAAAACATGGCATCAGTACACAAAGTATGGATGAACACAAATGAACGAATTGTACTTAAATTCTTAATCACCGGGGAACGACTTACGAAAACCTCATTAGTTCGTACAAATACCAAAACCGAATATAGCCAAGTGCTCAGGAAGCGGCTTGACGATACCATTGCGAGACCTGAACTCTAAAGTCGGAGTGAAAACACCGGGTATGAATATATAGAACGACATAGACTGGAGAAAAAAAATGGGATGGTGAGAGATTTGAGAAATTTATGTGCATTCAACAAATTGAATAAAAGTGACACAATATTTCACGAACAAACACACTACATGAATTTCTCCGAATCACCGTAAACAGATGAAAATTAATCATATTACCTTCATTATGAGCGTAAAACTTTAATGAAAAATGCAAGGAATAAGAAAGTACCCAACATAGCTTCAGATTTTCATCTCCCTGCTGGATGCGAAAATGAAACTGTTAATAAAGAAACATTGAACAACTGGTAATACAGCATTAAAAAAGTTAACTTAAGCCTTCCTTCGAGATACTGATATACTTATTGAATTCAAGATAGCCTTCAACAACATTTTCCAAGCATTACACGATATACTCAGAAAATAGACAACTACTATGGAGGAGAGCTCGTAAGGGATCAAAGAGGCTCCAACATCAACGAATCTGGTGGTTCTGGTTCACAACAAGCATCATCGTAAATAATGGATCTTTATCTTAAATATCGACAAGATTCAAGAGAAGAATAGGAAGATAGCAATTAACAAAAGCCGAACTGAAACATAGAAAGTCAAGGCACAAGCTAAATACACAGAAACAAGCAAGTAAGTAAAGAGGGGCTTTGTAGCCGACAAGTAGCGTCAGCAACGACAGTAGAATAGCTGCAAAAGAAAAAAATATGAAAGAACTATATGACACAACAAAGAAACTGGCAAGGAGACATGGTAAACGAGAGAGATCAGTCAAAGACAAAGAAGGTAATACAGCCAGTCGTATTCAAAAGCATAGGAACAGTGAGGGATGGATTACTTCGAGGGATTCTTGAATAGGTTAACTCCACCAAATCTACCAGACATCGATGCAGTATCTACATACCTTCCTATGGATGTCACTCCACAAACGATCAAAGAAATTAGGACAACCATCAGACAAAATTACAGCGGGAAAACAGTAAAGCCTGGCAAATTACAAACTGAAGCACTGAGGTTAGACAAAGTGGTAGCTACGGAGATGTCACACATACGGTTTGAAAACATCTGGTAGGAAAAACGAGTGCCGACAGACCAGAGAGACGGATGCTTCACCAAGGTAACAAAGAAAGGACATCTGAGCAGTTGAGGCAAATACATAGTAATCACAATACTATCAATCCAAAGAAAGGTTTTCACCAGGGTGTTGCTGAACCGGATGAAAGATTCAATAGGCATACAGCCTCGAGATTAACGAGCTAGCTTTCGTGAGGAATGGCTATATGCCGACCAGATAACGTCATTACGGATCGTCGTTGAAAAATCGATTGAATGGAGCTTGTCACAAATTGTTCACTGAATAGTTCCGTAACAAGTTTAGGATCGTCGTATACTTGCTTGTTTCGATTTAGTACGTTTAACTTTTTTTTGAAGGAGTTTTATAAGTGTCGAGGAGTTATTATTAAGATCGATAGCACGTTTTTCCTGCGCGGCAGTTTTTTGTTCATGTATTGTCTCTGTCTGGCATTTATTTATGTGACCGTAACTAAAGAGGAAAAGTCATTGAAATTGTGGAATCGAGTACAACGTCTTTGAAGGCTTCTTCGCGTAGAGACTGGTATATACAAATCTTTAGAAAACCCAGGTCCTCAGTATGCTAAAGGTGCGATTTTTTGAAGATTTTTTGGTGTTGTAATAAAATATAATAGTTAGTGTGTCGGCATTCTTTACAGTATGTGAGGTTCCCTATCCAGTATTTCTTATATAATTTTAGACGCTTTTCCAATCGACCTTGCGATATTTCCTAAGAAGTGTTACAGTTTTACGTCTACCGGTCGCGGTTTTTATATTAATGCTACATATGATCGCTACTTGGAAACGTTTTTCTAATATGTGCAGTATTGGGTGTTAGGCGACTGGTAAAGATTAAGTTTGAGATATTTTAATGTCTGGTAGGTCTACTGACATACTGACTCCAATGTCCAAGCTCCAGGCATTCAATAAATGAATCGTAACGTTAAGGCTCCTTGGCTGGAAACCAAGGAATTTCAGGCATGCTGAAGTCATGACAAATAAGCTTGTGGAATTATGATATTAGTACTGCTCTAATAATAGACCTAGTCCTATAACTGTAGATTTGTCCTGATATAACCGCCTAATCTATAAGTTCTTACGTGGAAGTCACATCATCGTCTACACGAACTCACCACATTTTAACAATTACCGCATTTTCCATCGTTAGGTATTTCTCCGCGTTAAATATTGAATATCTATTTTTCGAGTGGTCTCATGTTAAGCTGTGTGGATTGTATGGTTATAGTCCAATGCCATTACAAGCTTACCTGTGAATGAAAGGGGTGATGACAGTGTGAATACATCTGACAATGTTTTTATCTCACCTATTTTTTTAGAAGTTAGTTCGGTTATATTCATAAATACTTTTAGACCCGACATATTCTCTTCCTTCACACCAAACTGGGACGAATCAAGGGACATAGGACGCTAGTTTGAAAGCCAATAACGAATAAAGTACTCATGTTATACATGTGTCCCCACCGAGTCGTCAAGTATTGGAATGCTTTATTACCTTAGCTTGAATAGTCGGTTGTTGGCGCATAATCTAGACATGTCCACTGGTGTAAAAAATGAATACCTGTCACTTTGGGCTCATGGATAAAGCTTGTGAGATCGATATTTTAAAAAGCCTGTAAAAAATAGAGATGCATTGCATCTACCGTACTTTTACGAATAAAGAGTTTGGTCTATGTATATACTAAAACCGACAGATTAGTTATCGAGAGCTCGCCATTTTAAATAATTAAAGAACTTGATAATAAGTCAAATGTTTTCTTGTCTCGTGCATTTTTGTACATAATTTTATGTTTTTAACGACTATGGGTCTGACAGTATTTGTTTGTTTGTCACGAAGTTGATTGAACATTTTGTAGGCACTTTCAACAGCTGTAATTTTGCGCTCGACTTGATCACGACAAGTTTAGTATGGATATTGTTGATTGATTGATCCGATTAGTGCATATAGTTAAGAGATTATGGTAAGACCATGATGTATAGACCGTATCCGAGCAATACTAAATTGGATTTGAGAAAATTCAACCAATTATAAAGTTTAAAATAAAGTTATAAGTGTGAAAACTTACGGTCTGAGTAGCTAAATCACGTCACATATAATGCCAAAACTCCATATAATCGTGCGGACTAATAAAGTTTGCATCAAAAAACAATGTAGTCTATATAAAATCATCTATCGTTGCAGGTGATAGCGAAAAGTCTCATGCACTCTGATAATGGCCTTTAATGTTAACTTGAAATAACCCAAATTGACACTGAATAGACAGGATGAGGTAGTTATTTGTGTATTGAAGTTACGTTTTTCTAAATGATGGGGGCAGTAGTTCTTTAAATTATTGACAATCTAATCATCCCGAGCTGGTAACTTTGGAGAAATCCCCAAAATGAAATAGCCTTCCCCAACATTTATGGAAATATCGGGGGTTGGGTCTCATTTCCACAAAATTTACTATAGCGGCTTCCCCAAAATCGGCAGCTTGGGATATTTCGCAGTATGAACCTGAACTAAATAAAACACCATTTTTACTCCTATATTTACGGTCTCTTCTGTAGAATATTAAAAAAAGTAGCTTAACAACATTAAAATATGCAGAATTCATCTCTTCCTTCTTGAACTCTAGGTGAGGAAAAAACTGTAAAGTTACACTTGGTAGTTCATGCTGTCACGTTTTGTTATTAGCTATACACTTATGTATACTGTTATTTAAATTTTACTTTTTTGCTTAGTTTAAACTTGACAAGCTAACCTAGTTGTTGCGCATCACCCTGGTGTAATATTTCTGCATGTAGTTTTCAAACTTCATTTGTTGTTTGTAAAAAAACTAACGGGAATCTTAGTATTTTATCAGCTTGTTCTTTGACGGAAACACTGGAACCTTTCGCGATAAGTAACTTCGTAGGGGATATAGTGCAGGAGATAAATCACTGTGGTAAGTATTGAAAGGTGTTCCCATTCTCATCTTTGAGGTTCTAAATTGAGCTTGGATATCTGACAATTTGTTGAAAAGTAAACTTGGATCAAAATAGCTTGTCTGTTATTTGATGTATAGGCTTGTTGGGTTGGTATTTATATTTCCATTTACTTTACCAATCAGTAATCATTGACAAAAAAACAGCCATTCAGTTGTTACGAATATTCATCCACTTGACACTTGAGATTTCTCAGGTGTTTAGAATAGAGTCACGTCAGTCATGTACAACGTAAGACCAGGCACGTGTATGCATCGGTCCAAGCACAGGATGAACGCCAAATTCGTAAAAGTAGTTACATCGATGGTACTAATATATAGAAAAAAGATTGAAAGTAAGGATAGAGCACAGGAATAAATTACTATTTCGTAGAAAGAAAGATATAAAGTAATTTTAATCTCTTATTTTAAGGTGACACAGAGAGTGTATACACCGACGCCATTGTGATCGGTTCTGAGCCATGTCACTCAGTTTCCAACCATTGGTTACGATAGTCACGTGGACGCCAACCACGTAGTCTGCATCTTACTCAATGTTTTAGATTGTCATTCATATTGAGAAGTCATTATTTTGTGAAAAGCTTCTAAATGATCTTTATTTATTAACTAGACCACTTCGTATAATCCCTTGAATACATCCCAACATTTTCAAAGCTAAGGTATTATTGAGTAAACGGACAATAATATTAACGTCTCATTAGTCAAGACAACACAAAGAAAGTCACATGAACTTGCGTCGTAATGCTCTTGATTTTTACTCAACTATTCAAAAATAGTTTTTGGTATAATGTATCACCAATTACATATATACAGTTAAGATGCAGTTTCATTCACTATAGTTGCATATGTAATAATCTTGATTTTTTGTTTGATAGTGCACAAATGACAGCTTATAATGTATTATATATAAAGAGCTATGAAAACAAGAAGTGCTCTCTCGATGTTCTAAACTGTGTCAATCATATTCAGAAATCATTAGATCGTGAGATGGCTCTTAAAGGTCCTAGTTATTTAGCTGGATTATTTCGTCTAACTCCTCAGATACAGTCAGGGGTTTTTGAAGCCAAACAACCAAAGCCGAAAACATCTTACGAGTCAATACAACACAACGAAAGTCAAACGACCTTTTATCGTAGTATTCCGTCCATATCTGATGACCCGAATTCCCAAGAATCCTTACAAATAACTTCTCCTGAGGTGAGTTTAATCATGGGTTACAATGGTTGAAAAATCACGAGTTAATAGTATACTTGATTGATACCTACCGGTGCAAACTAAAACTAACGCTAATAGATAAGGTGTAGTTTTACGATAATTTGAGAAACTCAGATGCTAATAGTTGAATATGTTAATTAAAATTGGCGACAGATATTGTTAACAACAACAAAGTCACTCACCTTTTATCCTTCTCTGAACCCTTTCCGACTATGTATCGTCCATAAACCTAATTCCGTTTGATTTTGTTTTGACCTGATGTTTTTATGCTTTTTAAAGCTATGACGACCCGAACAAATAAGGTGTAATCAACTTTCTTAGTCTGGTTTTGGCTGTTTAACCTAGAAATTAGCAAATTTATTCCTGCTAATTTATTATAGTTGGTTTCATATTTGGTTTTAGTGTTGATACGGTGAAATTGCATAACAGACGTTGATCACTTTCGTTGAAGAAGTAACCGAATCTGATCGTCGGAAACTCAACCTTATTCTGGCGTGTTGAAAAACTGTAGAAATAGTATATTTTCCATCCATACATGTCTCAGTTTATGGTGAGAATGATGAAATATAAGCTTACTTTAAAAGATCTAGCTTTCATAACATTGTAATATACATATTTTCGTACCCTAAAATCCTTCATTACTTAACATTTCGACGATGGAAATTATCTCGTTTGACTGAATGTCCGTTGAATAATATAACTGCGGTACAAAATGTTGGATAATGGAGATTATCAGATATAGTTTATTTTTTCTGTTTTATCGAGACTTCTGGAATTTTCTCCAGATTCCCCATTCAATATATTGTGAAGTTGACACTATTAAGGTAGATATCTATTTTGCATCAATTCCTTATGGATACGGTAAGGTTGTTTTTTTCTAATTACTTTCAGTGTAACATTTTGAAGTCAGTATTTTCTTTTGTCATTCCAGTTTAAATGACAAATCACACTTATCATATAGATGAGTATGATTTCTCGGAACGTCTGCGAGCGTTATAATAGTAATCTATACATTCTTTTCCGTGAACTTTTTTGCTTTCAATGCATAATACGTATCAATAAATTTAAGTTATGAAAATATAAAGAGGAAATTTATAGGTACATTATTCAGGTTATGTCATTGAAATAATTGTTAACTAATTGGGCCGAAAGTTGGTCTAGGTTGGTAAAGCGCTTTAACACAAAATTCCGGTTATTTTTATCCGAATAGCTATTATCTTAGACGTTTGAAGAACTCAGTCGGACGGATTTAGGCAGATAGCTATTAAAACGACATGTTACTGTGAATCATTTCTTCGTGTCAGCTTCAATTACTACTTTTATTAAGCAAGCCAGGATTGAGTTGTTAATAGTTTTAACTGTACAGGGAGACGCTCGCGGGAACGATAATGCAGATTTCTGGTTAAATAAAAAACAGCAATTAATGACTGACTTTATACACAAGAATGTCCTCGTGAAACCTAAATACTGTGTTAGTAGTATGATCACTGACTTGTGAAGTGTTTAATTACTCCTTCACTCACGTAATGGTAGTCATAGGAATTCAATCAAACCTTTGAAAGTGTATTTTATATGATGAAATGTTATCTAAACAAATGTAATCTACAGTCTATTATTCAGACAATGAATATTCTAATATTACTAACTGGGCGATGAAATTCTATCTCTTATTTAGCTCTTTATTACAACTCCACAATTATATGTAAATTTAAAAATTTACTACATAATGCTAAGTGTAGTGATTTATCAAAACTAGAATTATTGACTCACTTGGTATTGTTTTTTACTTGAATCTTCCCATTGATGTTTTTGGACTGAAATTGATCAGTCTCTTATTGGTATATATGCATACTGTGCGTATGCCTCGATATTGCCTTAATTTACAAGCATTATAAGCAAAGATGGATAGTGGCTAGCAATGGAATCCAGGACACGGTACTGAGTTCGAGTCCCAGAGTGAACATCAACTCTGAGATGCAGGTACATCCAGCTGACGAGTCCCAAGCAGGACGAAACGCGCGTCCTGGATTCCACTGCTAGCCACTATCCATCTTTGCTTAGAATTATTGACTTTATATTATTAGCGCTAGACGATAATCGATTATAAGAATCAAGACGATCAGTGATGGATGAAATTACCATATAAAGTTGAGATTGTTCACCAATATTCATACGTTGAATTAAACAACTGTTAATTATCGTGATAAAGGACAATCAGGCGATCATTTGGCAATCTATACTAATTACGTAAGAATAAAAAAATAATACCATTCGAATAACAAAAGCTATTTTTGCATGTCAAATATAATTTGAGGTTTTTTTTTGATATTTTAGTAATTTTAATAGTTAAGATCATGAATCAATTAAAGCTAGACCATTATGGAGAACTTGGAAGCACTAAACGACCGTTTCGTCCCATTATGGAATTCCTCAGCTTGTTCACTTTTAAAATTTTCAGTCTTCAAATATGAATTAGAAAAACTTTCTAAGACATAGTATGTCAAGTTTACTTAACTAAATTCCCATAAATTCCGAGAACAGTGGTGGGTAGCGAAAACAAGAGAGATGGAAGAGGCAGCGGCAATAAGTAATAAGTTTGTTGGCAGGTGTAGGCTACATGGTTGGGGACCGTGAGATGATATCAACCGATGGTTAGAGACCCTGAATGACATGGATCAAAATCGTTTGCAATGGCGCAATTGCATCCACTTTTTGTGTTCTCCCAAATTCTAATCTTCTGAATTCTTCATGTTCCTTATTTTATCTCTTTCCAAATCTGTTTTACTGGATTATACTCATTGAAAAACATCTTCAAACCTTAATGTTTCCGATTACTCCTTATACTCTTATTACCTCTACCACTACGGAATCTCTGTGCTGATGTGGTATGGCAACTCGAGCTGATGTACGTATGTACGAAGTTCTACTTTGTTACTGACTGAGTGAAATTCCGTTTTGTGTAAAACATGAATTATCGAAAAATGATGGTAATTTGATTGAAATATTGTTGACAATTGTTTGTACATTAACACCATTTTGAATATCGTTTATTTGTCAAATTATTAGGCTTCTTGTACTGTTCTTCTGTCCTATGTCCAACTGTGCGATAAACTTCTGAACTGTAATAATAGAATTAGCACTGAGTCGTTTTTAGATTGCAATTGTCCCAATTCTGACTCAGACATTATTATCAACATACCTTATGGTATTGTCCTAATTCAAATGTCGAAACATTTAATGGAAACTAAGCAAAATATCATGAATCAAATTTCGCAGCTTTATATGTTACAGTCTTTTAACATTCTTTAAACAGTTAAACCTATTTGTTTCATTTCACTTATGTGTTATATTGGCTCGTTAGTAGTTAAACTGTTTGTCTACCAATCAGTGGGGTTATCCTTTTTCAAACTCTCTTCATTAAGTATTAAACAATACAGTCCTGTATAAAATTGAATATTCATTTTAATCAATTAAGTGTAATTCTGTAGTGAAGGAGAACACAAATGGAGACAATGGAATGTGAAATCTAAAAACCGTACAGTAAATACTTCATTTACAGAATGCCAATCAATCGTCTTAGACTTCATTGTTCTTTCGTTTCCACACCAATCATTCTCTATTGTCGTTTTATTTTCATAAACTTTTACCTCCAGGCAATCCACTTTTGATGGATGATACATACTACTTATATTTGTCGACATCAGTAGCATAACTCACACAAGTATGATATTCTCCTGATTGTTGAATTTTTCTTTTTTGAAAAAATCAGGTCAATGAAAAGAGTCCATTATGTATTATTGCACCAATTGATAGAAATTTACTATGTGCTAAAACAATGAAATCTGAATGTCATCAGCAAGCATCAACATCTCATTCTACATATGAGAATAGAGATTATACAAATAGTTGTCGTTCTTTATTATCAATATCTAGTAACAGAGAAATTAGCGATATTGCACCATCAGTTTTAAAGGTATGTGTATGGTGATTGTACTTCCTTGACGATTTTGTTTTGCCAAAGTTATGATTTCCATGATGTTATGTTTACCAGAGTAGAAGAATAAGAGTATAGTAGAACAGTGTGCAATACTTTTTATTATTTTAAGCTTGGCAGTTTTGAAGTATGGTTAGACTGTTCAGTCATTCATTCATAAACGATGTAGAACTTGGCATATATGTGAGTCAGTTTAATCTGTCACACTGAGATCCCATAGTGTGAGGACGGTACACGGGTTTTCGAGGAAGCTACACGTAGGGATCTTAGAATATTCTTCCAAAAGTTGATTAGATGGAATATCTTCGGCTCTTTCTAAACTTCTTCATCGTCGTCGTGTCTTGGGGTTAATAAATCTTTACTTATACCAGTCTTTCTGTACTTGATTTCACGTCGTGGGAATTTGCAGAGGTCTCTCGTTTGGAGTATAAGTGATAAGAGTTTTCGACATAACAATCAACGACAACCAGATATAACAAGTAGCATTCAATTGACATGACGTATCACATAGTAGTAGAAGTAGTAACAGTTCCAAACGTTACCAGACAAGATTAGGCATAGAAGATATAGTTGGCGTAGGTACAACATCATGTAGACAACAACCTGTAATCCAATTTGTATTAGAATGATGGATAGATTTGTAGAACATTAACTTCCTAGTCTAAATCCTCAAGTTTAATCACTATTTCATGCTAGTGTTCCCATTTTTTATAGACACGAAAACACAAGTTGTTAGTTGAATATCAAGAAGCGATGAAACCAATAACTTCTATTGATATCCCATTGGAATATGAAGAGAAACTTATTTCTTTATTGAAATAATATTTTACATATAATAATAATATTGATACTAAATGGATAATATTTTGGCAAACTCTTTATATTTATATACTACTTTCTTGGTAATCTGTACAGAACTGATGATTCTTATTATTATTATCATTTAGTGTTCATGTAAATATGATCTTAATTAAATTGTTGGCATATTTTCTTTCTAGTAAAGTATATTTATTTATTGGAAAATATAAATATTGGTATGAAGAGGCCCTGAATAGTTATGCGCCACACAACTCACTTGATTTATGTGTGACTTGTGGTACTGCTCGAGTGCCCAGACTGAAGCAGGTGGATATTTTAGAGGGTCACACTCAGAGCCTTCAATCTAAAGGTCTGATACACAAGGCAGTGAAACAACGTCAGGAGATACAGTCCTATGGTGGCTGGTGACCAACAATTAATTCAAACGCCATTTGTTCCCTCAGGATCTTGGAGCCCATGTGCACTATTGGTTTGGAATCAAGGATTTCCAACTTCTCTAGATGGACTCTCCGTGTCTATCAATCCAGCTAAAGAGTCAAGCACTGGGTTTTCGTCCTCTCAATTCGTAGACAAGAGTAATGCCGCGAGAAGGCAGTGAATAGGACTTCCCTGTGAATGTCCGTGTGAGAGCGTTTCGAGAGGGAGAGCTGACTCCTCTCACCCTCGACCGTACCAGGGCATTTGGGGGCTTTCTTGTAAGGAAGAGAATTTTTTAACTTTGTGTACTGATGCCATGTTTTGGTTTGGCCACCCCTTATTTTCATCCAACCGTCTCCAACACTAGTCAGAAATACGCGTCGTAGTAATCCGTGTTCAGGCATACACAACACGATGGCCCAACCATCTCAGTCGATGAAGATTCACAACCTCATCAACTGATTTACCATCATTCCCTAATACCCTGTGCTTAACCTCACTATTACCCAGTGATCCCAGCAGTTGTGAGCAATATTTTTAAGGTATCTGTGGTCGAATACTAGTAGGTTACGAGTATCTTCTACTCTTAATAGCCACGTTTTGCAGCCGTAAATTAGGACAGAACGAATTGCAGCGCGGTATACTCGTCTCTTAATTGATAGTCAGATATCTCGCCTTCGCCAAAGGTGACGTCAGTTGGCAGAATCCAAACGAGCTTTTCGAATCCGTGCTGAGATTTCCTCAGACACCAACCCATTAGGGCTGATCAGACTTCCAAGATAAGTGAAGTTGTCAACGCGTTCGACTACTTCACTCCCTATCCTTAGTTCAGGTGTTGACGCAGACCAGTCCTGAAGCAACAACTCGCATTTAGAGGAGAAACCTATCCAAAATATCCTAGCATTGTTGCTCAGTGCTACCAAAAGACTGAATTTTATCAGCATCGTCACCAAACAAGTCTATGTCACATGCGTATTCTAAGTCGATAACCTGACCTCCTGATAGAAGAGCAATTACTTAATATTCAGATAACGATAACGTTATTTCCAGCAGTAGGTCTATGATCAAGTTAAACAAAAGTGGACAGCCTTGACGGACACCACTTGAGGTTGCAAAATCAGATGACAGTTCGCCAACAGAAGACGGAAATGTTAGCATTTGCCTCGAGCACATTGCTTATATGTTGCCAAAACTAAGTGAATATGATAAATCGCCGACTGAACTACTCGTAGACATCCAAAAGATATTCCTTTAGAAGATATAATTATTCAAAATTCCTATTGAATGGATACATGGTAAATTTCCGTAAGTCTCATCAATTTCGTTAATCCATAAGTGAAAAATCTATGCAGGGGCTAGAAAACAAAAATGTGATTATTCTACTAATGATTCGTTTACAAAAAATGGCTATCGTTCATGTTCCAAAGTTATGTGAATATGTCAACTATTTACTGCATGTGTATTTTCTATGAATATACAGTCCCTATGTAAAATATTCTTGATGTGAAGGCATGGCAATTGTCGATTCAATATTATTCCCCAGTTGAATTCCCACAGACGGAGAAAAATCTACCATGATTTTACTGGTAACTTAACTGAATCTTTTAATAAGTAATATTCTTGTTTAACTCATTACAGATTTCAAGACGTTTTCATCAATTCTCTTCACAATACCATCACATCATTTGTGTGGTTTATTTATTTGAAACCTTGAATTTTATCTGCTTCAAATATATAAATCGTACAATCGCAACATAACCAAAGTGAAACTTTCCGTAAACACTCAGCACTTAGAACGATTATGTTCATAAGTGAATATACTGACTAGTGGAGCTAATCCGTGTCGGGTAGAAACAGGTGTCTACCTAAGTACAATGGAAGATGGTTGCGCAATATCGTGGATTGGTTGAGGTTGGACATTAACACCATTGAATGCCGGCTCAGTGGTTCAGTAGGTTAAGCGTTCGCGCGTGAAACTTAAGGCCCTGGGTTCGGATCCTACGAGCAGGATCGTGGATGTGCACTGCTGAGGAGTCTCACAATAGGACGAAACAGCCTTTCAGTGCTTCCAGGTTTTCAATGGTGATCTAACATCAATCAGTTCGTAATCTCAATCAAGAATAAATTATTATCTGAATGAATATTGACAGCAACCTCATTGTCATGGAAATGTTAATTCTATTCAAAATATACAAAAATCAATAGTCATTTACAACTGGAGAAATATAAGGAGCAGAAATATAACTGGTTGGTGTTCATTAGAAAAATATCATTATTTGGCATAAACAGCTGGAAATATTAAATCTTCATTTTCATTGGATAGATCATTTAATTGTTGATTAGTATCCAACTTTGCCATTACTACCATGTACCTTGAGTTGCGTGTATTTAAAGTCTATATGATATTTAAAAGAATAAGAACAATGTGAAAAAGTAACAATACTAGGAGCCACTACACAGTTATGCTTAAATTACTGAGTGAGTAATAGTAAGTTCAGAAATAACCTTAATATATTTAGAGTTGGGGGGTTCCAAAATATCCCTCGGAAAAGTTCATAGGAGCTCATAAAACGTTTAGAGACAGCTTATCCCATCAGCATTGAGTAGAATCTTCTTAGGAACATCTAGAAGGTTAAGAGCCAAGTGTAATATTTTTGACTGGATATTTATCCATACAGTTACTTTACTTAGTATGGTTCCACAAAGTCGTAACAGCTCAAGGTTGTGTGCAGCTATGAATAGCTTCGCTTTTATGTACGAAAACTAATCTTTGAGTAAAACGTTCTTTTAGCACTTCTCGCTTTTTCTCTTGTATTCAATCCGCCATGTAGATATAGCTTAAGCTTATTAGAAGCGTCTAGCAAATTGTGAGGAGCGTCTATCTAACAAACTTAACATCTGTTAAATCTATCTAAAGGTATAACAACTGAGGATATATAATACAAGTAAAAATTTACGAGCGTTTTATGAATTACAATCAAAGTATGTCAAAAAATATGAATAGATATATTAAATAAAGCGAAGAATATCTTCGTTTGTGTGAATGTACTTTGTCTGCAATACACATTTCAGATGTACAAAACTTGTTTAGCAGCAAGAAGATGAAGGCAATATTGTTTACTGTTTGCAAACATTTTAATACAGATGAATCCGATTCGAGGGACGATAGGTCATAGTACGAACGATTTAATAGTACTATAAATGAAGTGGGAAGCTTTTTGTTAGATCTCTGTTATTAAAATTTTGTTAACTGAATTCGGCTATTTACTCTGAAGAAGTGGCTCATAGTAAGTCACGAAACTTTAGAAATACAACTCTCGATTCGTTGGGATATAGCAAAAAAATCTGAGTTGTGTTAAATCGGTGGAGAATATGAACACAACTTAGTAGCAGTTGTTAACTACTATGGAAATTACATTACTACTGTAGAATAGATTGAGGTCTCAGTAAGTTTGAAATCGCGGATTAAATTTGCCATTGACAAATTTAAGGTCAAGTAAGAACCAATCAACGTCTAGGTGCACAGAACAAGCTGTGAAACGCATATGGAGAAATTCGAACACTTCACTTCTATCTGAAGTTTGTGCTGATGATGTCGTTCAGAAGAACGATGAAAGCTCCACGACCAAACCATCCAGCTCAGAGAACAAAACTCCATCAAAATATGTATCTCTTATAAGCATACAATTAATAAGAGGAGAATTTTTTCACAACAAATAATTTACTAACCTGTTCACAAGCTGCAAGCAAACGAAAACTAGGATGATGAGGTAAAGATTTTACACCAATAAATTCTGATCTTAATACTGGTATCCAAAATACTAAACGTCCATTGGGATATAAAAGATAAGCTGCTAAATCCAATAAATCTTTGTATATTTTATTAACTGGATATACTTCCTGAATAAATAGAAAAAATACGAGCAACAAAACTACCCAATTGTATTAGGCATGTATACATACCAGAGACGTTTTACTCACAGTGTTGATGTTGTTTATGAAATTTAGAGGACAAAAGCAAATGTCCAGCGATTTAACCAGGTTGTTGGGTATGGAGGGTCCATTTAGGGCAGTTGGAGAGCCCTAATTACAAACAAGTGATGCACATGGGCTCCAGGATCCTGTGGGAACAAATGGCGTATGGATTTATTGTTGGTCACCGGCTACCATGGAAGGCATCTCCTGATGTTGCTCCACTGCCTTGTGGGTCAGACCTTTAGGTCGAAGGCTCTGGTTGAGACCCTCTAAGAAAACCGCCTGATCGATCTGGGCACGCGAGCAGTATCACAACCCACAAATAAATCGAATGACTTGTGTAGCGCATATGTTCTCGGTATCCTTTTGAGTGTCCAAATAAATAAGCAACAAAAGAGAAAAAACTGTAGCACAACTGTTAAACTTCATTTATTTTCTTGTACCCTTTTTATGCAGTAGATACAAAATTACAGACTAATCGATCACTTTGTAATATTGATTTTTTTGCCTGATGCATAATCAAGATACTATCGAATAAGTAACTGAATGAAACTGTCCGTTAAGTTTGTTTACGCTCTCTGTCCTTATTCTCTTCTCTGAAACTTTTGTTTATTGTTTTATACTACTGACTTATATTCAGTAAACAGTAGTATTTCTTAGCAATTTCAATGAGTATGTTGTTTCGCAAGTTTATTGTATTGACGTATACTTATAACAATGTCTTTATCATCACAATTACTTTCTTTCAATCCATATAGAACTCATTCTCAGCCTTTGTATAATCGTTTTTCAAACACCGAGTTC